CCTCAATATGTAAAAACTATGAGATTTTCCACTTAATGATACTTGCAATCACCTTCATTCTGCAGAGTTCTTGTAAAGTGATGGGAGGGAAAAGTTCTAAGCAGGGAAGTTCAAGATACATTTCGTCTAGTCGGTCTAGCTCACAGCAGTGGAGTCATTTCGGTTATCCGGAGTCGGCATATGCTCAACCAAGAACCACGCCCCAGTATCAATTTGCTCCTCCGACTCCGGGGTATGGAGGAACTCAGGCCCCAGGGGCAAGAAAGAGGGTGGAGAGGAAATATTCAAGGATAGATGATCACTACAATAGTTTAGATCAGGTCTAGCTGTAATTCGCGTTGTAAGACTTTTATCAACACTATATTTGGACGTGAAAGTTATTTATGTTTCTTGGATTCTCTTCACAGGTTACTGCAGCGTTGGCTAGTGCTGGCCTGGAGTCTTCAAATCTTATTGTTGGTATAGATTTCACAAAGAGCAACGAGTGGACAGGTTCATCCTTGCTTTGGTTATTCAATGTTATGATCTATCACTTTAATAGCATGCGCACATGCTAATGATGCCTTTTATATAGGTGCAAGATCATTTAACCGTAGAAGTTTGCATCACATTGGAGATGAGCCAAATCCCTATGAACAAGCAATAGCAATTATTGGGCAAACGTTATCGTCATTCGATGAGGATAATATGATCCCTTGCTTCGGCTTTGGAGATGGTATTTCTTTGTGCAGTCGATCTATATTTTGAACACATGTTTGTTTCAAATTAACAATGGTGAAGTATGTCACTCTAAATGTTGGCAGCATCAACTCATGACCAAGAGGTTTTCAGTTTTTATCCAGACGAGCGATTCTGTAATGGATTTGAAGAAGTGTTGAGTAGATACCGGGAACTCATGCCTCATCTTCGACTAGCAGGTTGCAGCTGTCTGTTTGCTATTACACTTCTGTGTTAGCTTCTACTTACTATACTTCCATAATTTCATTTCTGGGACAGGGCCAACATCATTTGCCCCTATTATCGAAATGGCTATCACAATTGTAGAGCAAAGTGGCGGCCAGTACCATGTATTGGTAATAATAGCTGATGGTCAGGTACTTTCATCTCTATTCCCACCGACTTCAATTTTGATTGTTTTGGACTTCATGTTTATAACATATCTTCCTATTTGTTCCCAGATACATAAGAAATGAGTAACTATATAAACAATATTAGTTTCACAATGAGCCATGGAAGTATGGTACCTTTTAATTTGAGTCTGAGAAACAGAAACAAAAATTGCAAGTGCAGCGAGTGTAGATCATAGGCAGAAATAATGTGTCAAAATTTCTAATTTTTGAAGGATGTAAAAATCTTCAGGGCCCTTCTCATTCATTATCGTGGCTGATTAAATTGAGAGTTCGGTCCGTTTAATTTATGAACCAATACACTGCTTGTTCAGAAATTTATTGTAACTGCAGCCACCACTCACCGCTAGCAAATATTGTCCTCTTTAGATTTTTCCTTTCGGGCTTCTCTTCAAAGTTTTTAAAATGCGTCTGTTTGGGAGAGTTTTCCACACCCTTATAAAGAATGCTTTGTTCTCCTCCCTAACCGATTGAGATCTCACAGTCCACCCCCTTCGGGGCCTAGCATCTTCTCTAGCACTCGTTCCCTTTTCCAATCAATGTGGGACCTCCAATCCACCCCCTTTGGGGTCCAGCGTCCTTGCTGGCACACCGCCTTGTATCCACACCCCCTTTGGGGCCCAGCGTCCTTGTTGACACACCGCCTTGTGTCCACCTCCCTTTGGGACTTAGCCTCCTCGCTGGCACATCGCCCGATGTCTGGCTCTGATACCATTTGTAACCGCCTACCGCCACCACAAATAGATATTGTCCTCTTTAGGCTTTCCTTTTCGGGCTTTCCCTCCAAGATTTTTAAAACGCGTCTTCTAGGGAGAGGTTTCCACACCCTTATGAAGAATGCTTTGTTCTCCACCACAACCAATTGAGATCTCATAATCCACTCTGATCTTTGGGGCCCAGCGTCCTCGCTGACACTCATTCCCTTCTCCAATCCACCCCATTCGGGGCCCAGTGTCCTTGTTGGCACACCGCCTCGTATCCACCCCCTTTCGGGACTCAACCTCCTCACTGGCATATCGCCTGTTGTCTGGCTCTGGTACCATTTGTAACAGCCCACCGCCCACCGCTAGTAGATATTGTCCTCTTTGGGCTTTCCCTTTCAGGCTTCCCCTCGAAGTTTTTGAAACGTATCTGCTAGGGAGAGAGGTTTTAAACCCTTATAAAAATTTTTTTGTTCTCCTCCCCAACCGATGTGGGATCTCACCGTTATCATGATGTAATACAAGTTTAATATTAGTGGTAAAGATTGGGCATTATCAGCGAGTGAACAGTGATTTTCATTATTCATGTGGTCTCTAGAGTCTCCAGCCTGTCTGATGTCTGTGTCGGGTACCAACACTGAGACAAATTTTTTCATGGTGGCTGAAAAATATAGTTTGTATTCTCTTTGACAGGTTACAAGAAGTGTTGATACTGAGCGTGGGCAGTTCAGCTCACAGGAAAAGAAAACCATTGAAGCAATTGTGAAAGCTAGGTAGGTTCAAGTTATCTAAAATGGACAGAAATGGCGTTGTTCGTAATCCCATACCACGTAACGTCCCTAACTTTATAATGAATTACAGTGAATACCCTCTGTCGATTATACTAGTTGGAGTAGGAGATGGACCTTGGGACATGATGAGGGAATTTGATGACAATATCCCAGCTCGAGCCTTCGATAACTTCCAAGTAAGTATTGTTTGCTTCTTGAGCTGAACTTGCTTTTGTTATTGTTTGGAGTCTTTAACACAATCTGAGAAATGCTATTTTTGCACTTCGATTCTGCAGTTTGTGAATTTCACAGATATAATGTTGAAAAATATGGATCGATCAAGAAAGGAAGCGGAATTCGCTCTTTCAGCACTCATGGAAATACCTTCTCAGTATAAAGCAACAATAGAGCTTGATATTTTGGGGTAATAACAAGATTTCAGAGTAATATAGTAGAGTATTCCTATCAGTTTTCTTTTTTAAGCCATATTTTCTTTCATTGCTCCACCAGTGCCAGTAGAGGGAAGGCAATCGACCGGGTTCCTCTTCCGCCTCCTCGTTACGGTCCTAGCACCCAAAAGACCTCAAACACGAGCAGTTCTTGCACAACACCACCCTCAAATGGTGGAGTTGCTCCTGTCCGATCTGCGCCTCCTCTAAGTTCAGTTTCTGATGACCATGTAAATGCTTCTTTTACCTTTGTTTGCATTTTACTTGGTACAATAATTGGAAACGGAAATGAAGATTTTTACACTGTCTGGTGCAGACTTGTCCCATTTGCATCACCAATGCAAAGGATATGGCTTTTGGCTGTGGACATCAGGTAATAGCATTGCCAAGTTTTTTATGGCTGGCTGAATGAAACATTACCCAAAAGAACACTTACCTTCTACTATCTGCAGACATGCTGTGAATGTGGACAGGATCTTGAGTCGTGCCCCATATGCCGCAGCTTTATCCAAACTAGGATAAAGCTTTATTAGCAAAAACTCCCTGCTGAATTCTCATGTCCAACATCAACTCCAGCTTCTTGCTCGAGTACAAGGTGTCGTTGACGTGGTGAGTATGATATCATTTGTAAATATCATTAGTTTTTTCCACGACGTTCCATAAAATGTCTTGAAATGATGTTTGTTAAGCCTCATGGAAGCAACAGGCGCCTCAAATTCTTTATGAAAACTAGTTCTTGCATTAGTTTGAATGTAATTACAATATCTTTAGTGGGCAGTGAAACTCGACTTCTCATTACATTATCACCAGCTACATTGAACTCTACCTACCACTTCACAGAAAGATACGCTTCCATTGATTCCTATAGGTTATAGAGATTAGCGGACTAAGTTGTAGGCTAACTTTAGTGTAATAGTCCAAGTCCATTGCTAGCAAATATTGTCTGTTTTGGTCCATTACTTATCGCTACCAGTCTCGTGGTTTTAAAACGTGTCTGTTAGGGAGAAGTTTCCACACTCTTATAAGCCACAGTATGGATGTTTCACAAGACACCATCACACAGATAGGACGATTCTGTGACAGATTCGGAGCCTACTCAAGCACCGAACCGAGCCGATGTGTAGTTGACATGAAAGAATAGGAGTTTACCTATGAACATGAAAGAATAGGAGTTTACCTATGAATCTGGAAGTGGACTGTTAATGGTCAAGCTTGAAAATGGTTCCATTTCAAGAGATATAAAGTTTGTATATTGATACGGGGAGCATGTTAAGAGTGACTACTAGGAATATTTTGCTTGCGGGAAGAATCACACCCTACCATTTAATGATAAGTGTTAGTTGAGAGGTATGCGTAAGTTGACAATTCTTGATATGAAAAAACCTAAATCGATATGAATGGAAGATGCCTCTTTCACTTGTTTTTCTCGGTCGAACTGTGAGATCTCATGTCAATTAGAGAGGAAAATGAAACATTTTTTATAAAGGTGTGAAAACTTCTCTCTAGTAGACGTATTCTAAAAACTTTGAGGAGAAGCTTAAAGAGGGCATTATCTACTAGCGGTGGGTTTGAGCTCTTACATGAACTCTATTAAACCCCATTAATGAAATTGTGGTCGGCTACTCCTAGGTATCTTCCCCAAAGAACTTAGGCTGATATGAGTAGCACTCAGGTACACGTAAGTTGACCCGAATACTTATCAATATATAAAAAATATTAAGAAGTGGGATGGCTTATTAAAAAAATAAAAAAATAAAAATAAATAAGGAAGAAAATGGAAAAAGAAAAAGAAAAAGAAAAAGGAAAAGAAAGAAAGATTATGGGCCAAAAAAGATTTGAGGCCCAAAGGAACATGAGTGGACTTTGTTGTGTGGAGCCTAAAAATCTGCCGCGAATGTCTGGTCCATTTCATTCTGTTTTTGTTGCGATATTTTGTTAGGCGATAAGAACAGAGAGGCCATCTCTTTCTCTGTTCGCCCACTGCCTCTCTTATCCTTACCTCCTCCGCGTTGCTGTTAGGCCTCTCCTCTATAAACCCTTCTTCTTCAATCTCCTCCTCTCCTCTCCCACCTTCGACTTTCACAAAATGGCTTCTACTTCTGCCACTTCTATTTTGAAACCCTTATCCAAGGCAGACCCTTGCCTTCTATCCCTGCCCTCTGTATTCACCTACAGAGCCCCACAGTCCTTTCTCTCTTTCCCTTCCAAGTTCATCCCCTTTCACCTTTCTTCCTCCCATTCCTCTGTCTTTTTCCCCTCAAAGAAGAAACCCCATCTTTCTTCCCTCATTGCTTCTGTGGCCCAAGAAGACGACACCATCACCATTGACCAGAAACTCGCCGGCGACGAAGAAGGTTGGGGGGGTGAAGGCGAAGAGGTTGGAGGAAGTGAGGCCGAAGGGGGGCTTTTGGAGTTGGGAGAGGACGAGGAAGAAGAAGGGTCTTATGTTGAACCAAATGAAGATGCTAAGTTGTTCGTTGGGAATTTGCCTTATGACGTTGATAGTCAAAAGCTAGCAATGCTCTTTGAGAAGGTTGGAACTGTGGAGATTGCTGAGGTGAGTGTTAAGACTTTGGTGAATTCAATGTGATTTTGTTCATTTTGGTTTAAGCTTTTCATCTGGTTGTGTGTGTGGATTGTAGGTTGTTTACAACAGAGACACAGACCAGAGTCGTGGTTTTGGGTTTGTGACAATGAGTACTGTTGAAGAAGCTGAGAAAGCCGTGGATGCCTTAAACCGTTATGTAAGATCTTGATGTTCACTTTATCTTGTACACATGATTCAACAACGATGTGCTCTTCTTGAAACCTTATCTTTATTTTTGAACTTTTTTTGTTGAAGCATTTACTATCAAGCTTATCTCTGCATTTAACCTATTGGTTTAATTTTGAGGAGTTTAAACGATCTTCTTTCATGAATCTGAGTGCTTGGATGTGTAGTCTAGGAGTTAGCCATAAGGACCAACTTTTGACTGATGAGTTCGTTGAATTGTAGCACAAACTGTAACTTTTTGTTGGTTTGAATGTTTGATGATGAGATTTTTGTCCATCTTTACTATAAGATCCCACCTCGGTTGGAGAGGGAAACGAAACATTTCTTATAAAGGTGTGGAAACCTCTCCCTAGCATATACTTTTTAAAACCTTGAGGAGAAACTCAGGAAGGGAAAGCACAAAGAGACAATATCTTCTCTTGGTGGGCTTGGGCTGTTACATGTTACATATATTGATGCTGATAATTCTCTTAGATATGCCATTTATTTGTTATGAGCTTGAAGTTGGCCTATAGAGGCTCTGTTGGGCTGTTTCTGAAGTATCTCAACATATCAATTGGTTTTCTTCTTGAGAATTTTCCGTGTATAAATTGTATTTTCTGGGCTTGTAGGACTTATCAGGGAGGCTGTTGACGGTAAATAAGGCTGCCCCAAGAGGTTCTAGGCCAGAACCCACACCTCGAACATTTCAATCCGCTTACAGACTCTATGTAGGTAATCTTCCATGGGATGTTGATAATGCACGCTTGGAGCAGGTTTTCAGTGAACATGGCAAAGTAGTAGATGCTCGGGTTCTTTACGACCGGGACAGTGGCCGTTCTCGTGGCTTTGGCTTTGTTACCATGGCTGATGAAACTGGAATGAATGATGCCATTGCTGCTCTGGATGGACAGGTATGAAAATTGAGTTGCACTTAAACACACAACATAGACAACGAAGTTTGTGTACCGATTTAGAATGATTTTTCAAATGCTGAAAAACGTCTTTTTAACACTTTTTAACACTTTTGAACACTTTTTAACACTTTTGAACACTTTTGAACGTTTTTAAAAATCCTTTTTGGAAGTCATTTCAAACATACTCTTCCAGTTACTGAGACTCATCATCAAATGCTAACAAAAAGTTGTGAAATTTGAATTGTACAGAGTATAGATGGAAGGGCAATCAGAGTAAATGTTGCAGAGGAAAGACCTAGGCGCAACTTCTGAGGTGAACCAAGATGAATCCATGGACCTTTTTCTCTTGTTATGTGTTACCTTTTTTTGTTTCCAGGAAGTATAGGTGAGTTTTTGTAGTGCCATTGTTTAGCCACCTTCGTAAAGGTATAATTTGATGTCCTTTATGCCTTTAAAATTTCAAGTCTGTTCTTAATTTGAATCTTGTATGAGTTAAAATTACTACTCTCTCTGGATGGGATAGTCTTTTTCAATTAAAGTTATTGCATTTCTGAGAGAGATAATGGCGTTCACTAGAGAGAGGGGTTATGAGAGGGTCCTTCGTGACCAAAAACAAATGATACAAAAAGGAATCCGAGAAATCCAATCGAATTATCAACCCCGTCAATGAAATTTAAATTTTGTAAGTTCTAACGAGTCATCTTCTGTTTATCGTCTGTGATTGTCAAAAACAAAGGATATAACATCTTTATTTGGACTAAGTACACACATCTAGGATGATATGATTCAATTAGATGCGCAAAAAGATCTCTTAAAGTTTCTATACAACGTTCTTGATAAAAGCAGCATCTGCATGGGATGAGTAAACTCGATCAGTTGTCACGTAGCTGAGCTTCTCGGCTGGTAAGAGGCACATAACGAACAGAAGTCTCGTTGTGGATGTTAACAGAGCCATCGGCATCTTTATCCACAACCATCAAATCCTGGAATATGTTCCCAACTGGAATCACCATTCTCCCACCTGGCTTTAACTGGTCAATGAGAGCCGGTGGAATTTCAGCAGCTGCTGCCCCAACATGAATAGCATCATAAGATGAACACTCTGGCCAGCCCTGCCTGCCATCTACAACCATCCAATAACAAAGTAACCACAAACTTTCATTAACAACACACATCATCGAGTAGGACAAACACGCCCTCGGATTAATACCCACATTCTACTTTTGCCATGTTAGATCTTCTCACCCTCATTAGCCACAACAGTTCACCGAAGAACATTGTTAAGATTGAAGTGTGAGCGCTGGGGAGGGAGGTGACACTAATGGATTTCTAAAGGAGAATTGAGCTCCTCAAATTTTCTCCTCATCTAGTTTCAAAGGGGAGAAATCTCGTTTTAGACGGGTTTAGCATGACTTACGTAGTAGTAAGAAGTTCTTAATTAAATTTAAGGATTTTTTAGAATGGCTTTAAGTTACCTACACAAGAAGTAGCTTGAGATATTTTAAACAAAAATTCGAAGCACTCTGTAGTAATAGAACTCTAGTTACAGTGTTGTGTTTTCTAAGTGTTTCGCTCAAAGGGTAAAGCACTACTTTTAAAAATATCTCGAACTTACCTTTTACTTTCAAGAATATACCATTCCAGTGCATAGCGGGTGCACGAAAATTGCTTAAAGGTCACTTCACTACATCCTTCATCTCTTTACGGCCAATTAAACTAAGGAACAGAGTTCTTTATTCTAAATCAAAAGAAAAATCTATGGCTCTAGAAAAGGGAAAGAAGACAAACATACCAGCAACGTGTAGAGAGAGGGAACCTTCTTTCAGTAAAGGAGCAGCAGCACTTTTATTAATATTCTCGATTGATGAAGCCACCAGCTCAGGAATATGTTCCACACCAACTGCACGACCTTCAGGTCCAATCATTAACGCAAAGCATGCAGTCAAATATCCCGTTCCTGCCCAGGAGAAATCAAACATGTAAATTCAACTTAAATATATAGGAAGACCGAGGAAGGTCAAGGAAATGGCATTTGAAGTTGAAAATGCAAATTTCAAATGTGAAAAGGTAATAGAGTTATATCTTTTTAGAGTAACCAACTTGCACTTTCACTTGGGCAGTGCATGTTTAGAGCACACTGAACCCCTTACAGGAAAGACCAGAATCATTCTTCTGCATTTCAATTTCCATCTATTATACCAATTTCTTATCTTTTCTTTTCTTTTTCTTTTCACCCTCATCTTCATTCTCTTTTCTAACCGATGCAGGATCTCACAATCCACCCTCTTAGGGGCCAATGCCCTCACTGGCACACCACCCGGTGTCTGGCTTTGATACCATTTGTAACAGCCCAAGCCCACCGCTAGCAGATATTGTCCGCTTTGGCCCGTTATGTATGGCAGTCAGCCTAATGGTTGTTAAAACGCATCGACTATAAAGAGGTTTTCACACCCTTATGAGAAATGCTTCGTTCTCCTCTTCAACCGATATGAGGGATAATGCTAACCTTCAACGAAATGTCCAAAGTGATTTTTTTTTTTTTTACAGATCAAAGAAAACTGCTGATTAGAAATCCAGATTCAGAATGTCTCAAGTCAAACATAATTTAACATTCTTAGGAATTCAACAGCAATGAAAAAAATCACCAATTCAATTTTCAGGGCATAGAAGTTTTTAGTTAGATGCACAACCTGAGCCAACGTCCAAAGCGCGCATTCCAGGTTGCAAGTGTTTCTCCAACAATTGAAGGCAGGTTGCATGCATGTGAGGTGCAGATATAGTGGCATTGTAACCTATTGGCAGGGGAGTATCAACATAAGGTGGAGCATCATCCGGCACAAAAAATGCCCTATCTATACTCTCCATTACTTCAGACACCTTCTTCGACCCAACCACTCCATAGTTCTGGAGATTCTTCACCATTTCCTTGTTTGTAGCTATGCCACTTCCACTCCAGAACCTCTGCAATGTGATTTAAAATGACATGGAACGATCAAACTTTCAACCAAAAACAAAGACATGAAACAAAAATTGAAAACGAATTCCTGAACAGAAACACGCCGAAACACACCAATAGAGCACAATTCACAAGGAGTTCCTAAAGTTATCTCCCCATCTCTAAACATTAATTTATAAATCCATCCATCTTCCAACTGATCCTTAGTTCATTCTCATCAACGCAAGTACCTTATCAAGCTCCACAGCCTCAGAAGCAGGGCAGGTTAGCGACGAAAACATATCAGCATAAGATATACTACCAAAACCACTCGAAATAAAACCACATGTATTGGAAACAAATGCCTTGAATGATTAAAACTAACATCGATGAATTTATCAAGCAGTTTCAAAGGGAAAATTTAGTTATCTACACACCAAATTCGTATTATAAGAGAGGACTAAACGACAATTTACAAGCAAAAGATCATATACATCAGATTGAAAGAACAATTAAAAATCCAGAGAACAGAGAAAGATGAATTACGAATTCCAATTAAGGCGATATATTACCAGCTAATGATAATCAAAGCCTTCTCCTAGGTGAAAATCCTATACAAAAATAAAAAGATTTGGGTCGTCCGTGCACATACGAACACAAAATACCTTGAATCTCCAATTTCAATTTTGGGAAAATCCGAGAATCTTCAATTTCAGAAAACATAAATTTTGTAAAGAAGAAGAGAGAATGGGTGGGAAGGAATTAGCGGGAGATAGAGAGAGAAGGAGAGAGTACCTTCATCCTGGAAAGTAGACAATTACTCGCAGACCGAAGTCGAGGTAAGACGGAGACGATACTAGTGGCGGTGGTTTTAGGGGCAGAAGAATTGATCGGAGGTAGGGCGGTGGGAAATCGGCGGTGGAGAGAAGGGGAGTGATGTAGTAGCGGCAACCATAAGCAAATGGGAGGAAAGATAATTGAGCAAGACTCATTTCTCTCTCCGCCCTTGTCGTTTTTTCCAGTTAGCCTCCCCTCTCTCTCTCTCTATACAAAATCATTATTATTCTAGAAATTAATTAAATACATTTGACAGCTGTCAAGTATATATGCATTCAGATCACTGAATGGAACGATCAGAGCCGTTGATGTTCTTACATTAAGGATTTAAGTTACTCTTTTAATAATTTATTAGACATTTTATAAACTCCGATAACACGGAATCCTTGATTATTAGAACGTGTGTGTATATATATATATATATATATATAAGCCTGTTTTTTTATGTGATTCAATATATTTTTTTAATCCAACCTAGCACTAGTGCGGGTCCCATTAATTTCTTTAAGTTTCCTTCCTGCAAATCTACAGATCCTAATAATAATAAAAATATAGGCATAGGTAAAAATATGTCTATTATATTTTGCAGTCCTAGTAAGAATATTTTATAGTCTCGGTAAAGAGAGGAAGGGTTAAGGATTTGCCTTAACAATTCTTTCTCCACCGACAAGTATTGATGTTCTTCGATTCCTTTTTCGATGCAACATTCTACGTTGGTTGGAGAGGAGAACGAAACATTCCTTATAAGGGTGTTGAAACCTCTCCCTAGCAAGCGCGTTTTAAATCGGTGAGGTTGACGATGATATGTAACGAACCAAAGCAGACAATATCTGGTAGCGATTATACCTGTAACTGCAAACACAAAAGAAATTTTTTAGGATGAACTAGATACAAACCGTTCTAATAAGATTTCGTTCTCGAACGAAATTGTGAAACGACAGTCGAACTATTCAGCGTTCGAAATGGAAATTGGGGTTTGTGATCCACTATCACTTAGCGATAAAATAATATATTAAAAAATAAGAAGAAGAGGAAGAAGAAGAGGAAGAAGAAGAAGTAGGGCCATACATTGCTTGATGACATTGTCTTGAGAGAATTTAGGTTAGCAGTACATTATTAATATCAGCTAAAGAACACTATTGATAGCATGAATCTCTTTTCATTCATTATTTCACCTATCTTCCCTTTGTTCTATATAGCTTTCTCTTTTCTAACGCACACACCTTCCTTTCTTCTAATCACCACATTTATCCATAACCTCATTTCATTTTAAGATAATCACTACCTAAAAGCGATAAAGTTCCACCCTGCTCGCCTGGATGAGCATAATAATTCCAAAGCTTCTTTTTGGCCCAAAGAACAGCGAAGACTTCCTAAAATTTGCTCTAAGTTCCCTCCCAGACCAATGCCATTTCAGGCTTCAATGGTATGAAACAGACAATCCTACTCCCTTTATGAATATATATAATCCATGGAGTAACCAGCTTTCGCTTTTGTTTCAACTCCCCTTGCAAGCAAGGAACTACTTCACGCTGCTTTATTCCATCTCATTATCTTATATAAACCTCTATCAACCAAATCCTAAATCACCCAACACTAAATTCTTCACTGTTTTCAACCCTTTTCTTGTCACCTAACTCTTGTGTTCAGTTTGCTATGGCATCCCACACTCGCCCACCTCCCAACATGCATAAACTCATCAAAAATGACAGGAGAATGTTATCCGCCTCTGATGATAATGCTATGACAAAGCAAATTCTTGCAACACATGCTCCCGATGGGCGCATGGTCGATTTCAAGCCGATTCTGTTCACCATTGAGGACGTTATCCGACGTGCCACTCCCGCTATCGGAAACGTTCTAGATGTGAAACCTCTCTGATCTACTCCATTTGGCTTCCTTTCCTGCATACTTAACTGTTGAGACTGATGTGTGGTGTGGTGGAATGATGCAGGGCAATGGCCAGCATGAGGACATGTTGGAGGACCACATCGGCTCGCCCGAGATGGATGGCGCGCTTGAATCACTGACTTACGTCATACAGAAAGTCGGAGCCGAGGTCGAAAATATATACATTTGCTCTTTCTAACCGCCATTTCTGCCATGCTTGAGATGTAAAAGCTATTTTTTTAACTTCCTTTTGAGCTTTTTGACACTGAGACCTTTTGAACTTTTGATGTTTCTGTTGTTGCAGCTAGCATGTAAGTGTTCAGGTGGAGATGCACATGCCTCAACTATGGCTATACTGAACTTACTGTCAAATTACTCATGGGATGCAAAAGTGGTGATCACAATGGCTGCCTTTGCTGTGAACTATGGACAGTATTGGCTTTTGGCTCAACTTTACACAACCAATATGCTGGCCAAGGCTCTGGCTCTGCTCAAGCAATTGCCTGATGTAATGGAGAATTCCACTTCACTGAAACCTCAATTTGAGGCGCTTAACAAACTCATCAAGGCTATGTTGGACGTAACGAAATGCATCGTCGAGTTCACCGAGTTGCCATCTCAATACATTTCACAGGACACGCCTGCAATGTCAGTTGCCATAGCTCATTTTCCTACAGCTGCATATTGGACCATCAAAAGTGCGGTCGCGTGCACGTCGCTGATTGAAAGCCTCGTCAGCTTGACTCATGAGTGAGTGATGCACTGCAATATACTCAGAAACATCAATCTAAAGCTTGAGCCTAATTTATACTAAAGGAATTAAAACTCTTCTTCACTGATATGTTTCAGGCGGATTATGTCAACCACCGAAGTATGGGAACTTTCGAGCTTGGCTCACAAGGAAACGAATATATACGAGCATCTCCGGACTCAGCTGGATCTTTGCTTACAACACATAGGTGAGCAATATAAAATTTGATAGCAATTTGCAGACCTTTAAGACTGCAAGCTGAAATGAAAAACACTATATGAACAGATGGTAAGAAACATTTGGAGGCCTATCAGAATCTTGTGAGGATTTCAGAAACTCATCATCTAGACAACATGAAGTTCATCAGGGCCTTGATTTCTGCAAGAGATGACATACAGCCTCTCTATGATGGGACCTCGAAAACCACGGTTTGTTCACAAATCCAATATTCTTCAACTACCTATTCTGTTGAATCGAACTTCATTCTAAAGAGGGGGCTTTTTTGTTTTGGCACAAACAGGTTCACCTTGAAATATTGAAAAGGAAACATGTGTTGCTGTTGATCTCGGATCGTGATATCTCCCATGAAGAGGTTATGGTTCTAGACAACTTATTCAAAGAGTCACAACAACGACAGGAAATTCGATATGAGATAGTGTGGATTCCGATCATCGATCAATCGATCGAACAGCAAGGCAAGAATAAACACACGTTTAAGGAGGTGCAAATGATGATGCCATGGTTCAGCGTGCATGAGCCTTCAATAATTGAGCGCTCAGTCATAAGGTTCATCAAAGAAAAATGGAACTTCACAAAGAAGACAATCTTAGTAGCCTTAGATCCACAAGGAAAGGTGTCTTCCACCAATGCCCTTCACATGCTTTGGATATGGGGAAATCAAGCCTTCCCTTTCACATCAGAGAGGGAAGAAGCGCTCTGGAAAACAGAGAGCTGGAGACTCGAACTTCTCATAGATGGCATAGATTTATCTATTCTCGACTGGGTATCTCCATTAACCGAAATCTTTCGCCATTTTTTTAAAATTTGCAAATTTTTTTGAAGAACGACTGACGAAAGGGGTTTGTTTCTTTTTGTTTCTATTTTCATCAGGCGGCAGAAGGAAGATACATTTGTCTATTTGGAGGGGAAGACATGGAATGGATCAAGGAGTTCACAATGAAAACAAAACAAGTAGCAGAAGAAGCAAAAGTAGACTTACAAATGGCGTATGTGGGGAAGAACAATGCGAAAGAACGCGTCAGGAAAATCACCATCATGATTGGAGAAAACAAGCTCAGCCATTATTGGCCAGATTCCACATTGATCTGGTTCTTCTGGGCAAGATTAGAGAGCATGATGTACTCAAAATTAAACCATGGAAGAACAGTTGAGAATGACCAAATAATGCAAGAGATTATGACCCTTTTGAGCTTCGATGGAAGTGACAAAGGGTGGGCCATTTTCTTCGGAAGAGGAGGGGAAATGACAAGAGCCAAAGGAGAAACTGCTCTTGGTTGCATATTGGCATACGAGGAGTGGAAAACAGAGGTGGAAGAGAAGGGATTTCTGACGGCGTTGGCTGAGTATCTGCAGCAACTTAGAACCCCACATCACTGCAACCGCCTGATTCTGCCGGGACTGGCCGGAAACATACCGGAAAACGTGGTGTGTGCAGAGTGTGGAAGGGCCATGGAGAAGTACCTGATGTACCGATGCTGCGTGGAATGATCAAACCGAAATGGAAGAAGGGATATGGGAAGTTTGTTTGTTTGTTTGTTTTCCAGAAATCTTTTCAGGCAGTTTATTTTGGAAAAGTTGTCTACTTCGATTGAGTTTTGTTGTTTCTTAATGTTGGGTATGCGTTTAAAGAGATCTCTCCATGCGCTGTGTCTGGTGGAAGATCAAACCATAAATAAAGCTCTATCCTTTCTTTCTCTCTGTGTTCATGTTCAGACCTGCAAAAAAAAAAAAACAAAAAAAACAGAACAGTCCGCAGATTCTGTGCCTTTCTCGTCTTTTTAATTATTTGCTCTCTCACCTTAAAATTCATTAGGTACAAATTAAAATATTGTAGCTACGAGGCACAATCTTCCCTTTCTTTCTATAAATTTCCAATCACTATCACAATTCTCACATTTAATTTACTTCCCCTATGTGGGATGTGCATGGATTTTTTGAAAAAGCAACCATAATAAAGAGTGGGATGTGCATGGATTTTTTGAAAAAGCAACAATAATAAAGAGTGGGATGTGCATGGATTTTTTTGAAAAAGCAACAATAATAAAGAGTGGGATGTGCATGGATTTTTTGAAAAAGCAACCATAATAAAGAGTGGGATGTGCATGTGTGGGGCCCGTAGACAATGTCCATTCCGAAGCATCTAAAACAGTCAAGTAGATCCAACAGTTGATAATAAGTAGAAGACCAGAGCAGTTCAGTTGATAATAAGTAGAAGACCAGAGCAGTTCAGTTGATAATAAGTAGAAGACCAGAGCAGTTCAGTTGATAATGTTCAGTTGATAATAAGTAGAAGACCAGAGCAGTTCAGTTGATAATAAGTAGAAGACCAGAGCAGTTGGCCCCTCAAATCTTAATCCCTTCACTGGTGCATCCCAAAACGTGTAGTTTACTCGTAGACTTGGGACAAAGTTTCCAAGTTTTGTGAATTATAAATCGTGATTTTGAAGCCCAGCTCATTTTACATCTGTCGTTTCAGACGGGCAGAAGAAGAAAAATCTTACCTTTTCATAACCTTTTGATCTGCTTCCCAGTAGCATCCAAAAAACTTCTACCAAATTAGGAACATATCTATGTCATTTTCAAACACAACAGTAGATGTTTTTTTTTTTTTTTAAGGACTATTTATTTATTTATTTTTAATAATTAGAGTAGCAATTTGGTTTATAATTAAAAAAATACTCTCAAATCTACCCCTTGTTCCAAAGCTATAGGGTGGTCTTTGTACTTCCCCCTCTCAAAATCTTTCTAACAGCTGAAAATGGAAATCACACCAATCAACCTCGGGGATTCTGTCGTCTTTGTGGAAAGGGTCAACAATTTAACTGGGCTCCACTGTTCCTAGTGCGATCCTGGATTCCATTTAATACAGCCGCCTGTAAACAAGAAGAACACGTCTATCCCTGCAACTCTATTCACACGCCGCAGGAGAATGGCATCCCCTTCCTCCAAACTCCTTCCCTTCTTCGCCCTTCTCCCCCTCCTCCTCCAAGTCTATGCCCGACCGAGCCTTGTTCTTTCAGATCTTAGAGCCTTTAATGTCATCAAGAATGACTTGGGCATTGACGCTCAACTCACCTCCTCCCCATGCGACCTCGCCGGTGTCTTCTGCGAGCGCCGGCTCTCCAACAATGGCACTTATGTGTTGAGGATCACCAGGCTCATTTTCAAGTCCGAAGGTCTCACCGGTTCTCTTTCTCCGGCTATTGGGCGACTGACGGAGTTGAAACAGCTTACGGTTTCTGACAACCACCTCGTTGGCCACGTACCTGCACAGATTGTTGACTGCCGGAAACTGGAAATTCTCCATCTCCAAAGCAACCAGTTTTCTGGCAAAGTTCCATCTGGGTTGTCCTCGTTGATTCGCCTTCGAGACATGGATCTTTCGTCCAATAAATTCTCGGGGAGTTTGGATTTCTTGAAGCATTTCCCCAACTTGGAAAGTCTTTCTATTGCCAATAATTACTTCACGGGGAAGATCCCAGCTTCAATTCGGTCTTTTCGCAATCTTCGAGTCTTCAACTTCTCTGGAAATCGCCTTCTCGAAAGCTCAGCCCCTGTCGTGAAAGGCGTCGAGCTCTACTCGGCAACCAGTGTCCTCAAGCGTTATAAGTTAGCTGAGAATTCCACTACGAAAGGTAAGCCCAGTGCCGCGGCCACAGAGCCAACTTCGAGTGCTCAAGCTCCATCTCCCGCAGCATCCCCTCATAAGCATCGGAAAAATAAAGCAGTAAAGGTATTAGGTTGGCTACTTGGATTGCTCGCAGGAGCAATTGCTGGAACTTTGTCAGGGTTGATCTTTTCTCTACTGTTTAAAATCATCATAGCAGTTATAAAAGGTGGAACCAAGAATTCGGGCCACTCAATCTATGCTCCTAAGCTAATAAAACGAGAAGATTTGGCTTTTCTAGAGAAAGACGATGTGCTTGCATCACTCGAGATGATTGGTAAAGGAGGGTGTGGAGAAGTTTACAAGGCCGAATTACCAGAAAAAAGCGGGAGAATGTTTGCGATAAAGAAGATAGCTCAACCCCCGAAGGAAGCGGCCGAGTTAGCTGACGAGGAAAGCAAGTTTATGAACAAGAAAATGCAACAGATCAAGTCAGAGATTAGAACTGTGGGTGAAATCCGGCATCGGAATCTTCTTCCTCTTGTAGCCCATGTACTCCGTCCCGACTGCCACTACCTTGTGTATGAATTGATGAAGAATGGCAGCTTGCAAGACATGTTGAATCAGGTTTCGGCAGGAGCGAAAGAACTAGATTGGCTTACTCGCCATAAGATCGCTCTCGGAGTGGCATCTGGGCTGGAGTATCTTCACATGAACCATACCCCACGAATTATTCACAGGGATCTGAAGCCTGCAAATGTTTTGCTCGACGACAACATGGAAGCTCGAATTGCTGATTTTGGGCTGGCAAAAGTAATGCCAGATGCTCAAACTCACATGACGGCTTCCAATGTTGCAGGTACCGTAGGATACATCGCACCAGAGTATCATCAGACCTTAAAGTTCACTGATAAGTGCGATATATACGCCTTTGGGGTTCTGCTAGGGGTCTTGGTGATTGGGAAACTTCCATCTGATGAGTTTTTCCGGGACACGGATGAGATGAGTTTGGTCAAGTGGATGAGGAATGTTATGACTTCGGATAATCCTAGGAGAGCCATTGATCCGAAGCTCCTGGGAAATGGCTGGGAGGAGCAAATGCTCTTGGCTCTCAAAATTGCTTGCTTTTGCACTATGGATAATCCAAAAGAGAGGCCTAACAGTAAGGATGTCAGATGCATGCTATTACAGATCAAGCATGATGTACCTGAAACTCCCTCTTCTCGGAACATCTAAAATAATAATGCATGCAAAAGAATGTTATCTGCATTGAAATTCTACTTCCATATATTAATATATCATCTGCTTGTATCTTCCAATGCACAACCAAACAATCAATTTTGGATATAAAATAACAAAGTTTAAGAAAGTTGAGGAGTATCGTTCACCGGATACAGAGCGACAACTTACAAGACCAGGAAAAAGAGGTACTACTACTACAATTCAGATTGCAACTAAGACACTTATCAATCTCAGTAAGCCATTTCATAAAATACCACGCATAAGCTATAGAACAACTTCAATATTATATACAAAGCATCATAACGTATGAGTTTTGATTTAAGGCAGCACGAATCCTTTGGCATCCAGCAATTTGAACCCTGGATAGCAATCTAACGATCTTTTCTACAACCACAGTACCATATCTATCATTCACGTTCTGGTGGCTTTTACTTTTCTGCACTAAAAAAATCCCTGGATAGGAGTCAAGAGTACTTCAAAATTTTGAACAGAAGTTCCTATTTTCCGTCTTTCTACTTTTCTATTTCTTATTTCGCCTTTACGAAAGAAAGGCTTGTCTTTCTATCACGTACTAATGGTGATAAATTATTTGATAGCAGAAGAACATGAATCAAACGGACCCATACCATACAATTTCTCTTATTAACTGCTTGATCCACCAGGAGAAAACATTTTTAAACCGACCTTGGAGAAATACCTTACGAAAACCATTGCAGCTTAAACATTCCAGCGAGAGGAATTTCAAACTTCTTTTGTAGAGAAACTTATGCTCACGAAAACAAAGCTGCATCCTGATTTCTACTTCCATAGATTATGGTATTTGTATTGAGATCAGAATAAGACTACAAAGTTAGGAAGAAATTTGCCAACTCTCCCCAACGGCAAAGTACTTGAAACATGTGTTGAGGAAAATGGAAACGTTCATTTCATCACTCGAGAAAAGGACAAGATGAAGTATTCTAGAGCATTCCATTTATTTAGAGTTATTCTGTATTATTTTATTTTGAAGCCTATTAACTTGTGCCGCGTTTCCATCTGCATTTGTACTCCTGCCTATGTGCATATGTTTGCCAGTAGAAATATGCGTAAAATTGGTGGAATCGTGAGAACTTAAGAACTAAATTAAGCATTCTACGATTTACCTAAGCACCGCTGACATTGAAACGTAAAACTGAGAAGTATTCTCACGAGATCAAACAGTGCCAGTTAAACCGAAATTTATGAGAGAAACTATGGGAAGGGGAATCACCTCGCAGTCCATAACATCAGAACTCTCGTTTTTCTCGCACTCTGCAGAAATCCGAGCACCAAAGCGAAAATGAAGAAATGATCAGAAAGGAGAGGAAACAGAGAGAACGAAAATTTGAAAGAAAAAATAAATATAGAAAAACAGAAGGAAAGCGTGATATGAACCAAGTGATCTTCTGCTCAACTCAAGCTTGAAGAAGGCGATAATCAGATCCTGCAAATTATACTAACAGCTATAAAAAGGAAAACATATACGTAGTAGACATTTAAGAAAACAAAAGAATCATTGAATTGAACTTAAAATCAAACAATAGATACTGGAGACGAAGGCATTACAGGATCGAATGTGCTCTCCTCCATGGCGAGAGAAATTGGCGACTGGGAGTGGGACTCCGTAAGAAGCAACTATCAAATTCCTACGTGATTTGTTCTTCGATTGGCGCCAATTTTAGGTTTTATATGCATCTACTTTGGGCTTATGACTTTCAATGCCTTTCATTCGGCCTTAAAATTGGGCCCAAAACACCTCGCTCGTGAGTCAGGTCTATAGTTGAAATTGGGTCCAAAATTTCAATACTTTTTATTAAATTTTTTTTTTAAGAAAATCCTAATAAATCGGTACATATTTCTACCCATGCAATTTCTAAAAATTAAAATTTTAATATTATAATTTAGATTCTCCAACCGAATATACAAATAAGTAAGTATATATAATATAATATAATATTTTCTACTATATAATTTCTAGAAATTAGAATTTTAATATTACCGTTAGTAAAGTTAACTGATTTATTTCTTAATATAATGAATATATATTGAAAATATATTTATATTAAAGAGATTGGGATAGAAAATATAATCTCCGGCACTATTAATTTAACAAGTAAAAAATGAATAATTTAAAAATATTTATAAAAAAATTAAAGACAATATTGTAAATTCTAAATTTTGAAAGAATGGTAATAATTAAAAATAAAGGAGAAAGATTAATAAGGTTTTTATTTTTGTTAATAATATATAAGGTATAATTAATTAGAGAAAGTTAAAACAAAAAGGGTATTGTGGAGGGTCCGATTCCCGTGGAGGAAGCTGAGTGGGGCACCAAACACTAAGGCGGCCACCACACTTGGCCTTGCGTGGAGCCGCTTCCTCTCTCCCATCCCAATTAATTCTTTTTTAGCCTTAGGTTCATTGGTTCAATGCATTGACAACCTCCCAATTCACATTTATTCACATTTATTCACATTTATTCACATTTATTCACATTTATTCACATTCTCTCCCCTTTCACACCGCATTATAAAAATTAATTCAACTAACTAATTTGTTTCGTCTCTCATGTGGACCTTTTATAAATAAAATAATATTATAATTCACTCGTGTTCTTACTTCAATAGGGCAGTGAAATTAAATGATATTTAAATATATAAGGTAATAAATTATGGATCCTCTTTCATTCCAAAACTGGCCCTCCTTTTATGCATAATAAATATTCCTGGGAATTGTGTAACATTTATTTCCCCTAATTTAATTCTATTAACCCAATTTTTTAAATTAAATTAAAAACAAAACATTTTGGCTGACTTGGCAGGTGAAGTTTTTACTTTTTATTGCACGTGGAACACTCATTTCGCTCACGGTAATTTCTTTCATGCTCGCTCCACTCCACCCCACTGTCACCCAGTCATTTTCCACCCCTATCGATTGATGCCACCTCAGACAGTAACTGCCTCTTGCCACGTGGAAATTAATTTAATTCTCTTTATTTCCTTCACCAATCTAATCTCCCGTTTCACTATATAAAATCAATTTATACATTCAACACGACCCGTGTTTTGTTTTGATCCGGTCGGGTGTTTTATTTTAATTCACTATTCAAATATATACATATATATATATATATATATATATATGGAAAATAAGAGAAGAAAATGGAAAATAAATAAGTAAATAAATAAATATAGAATGGTCTATTTCTTTGCGCTTTGCGGAAAGGGGTGGGGTTCGAAATCATAGGGACACGAGTAACGAAATGGGACAGCCTGTCAAGCCGTTTTCAAGGTTTAAAAAATATATATATTTATTTATTTATTTTATTAAACCATCTCATTTAATATATCCTTCCCTTCAACATTACTCTATCTACCTATCATAAATACTCATCATATATTTTCACTATTTTCCTAATTAATTAATTATTCAAATCTCATCTAATTTCATACCATTCCTCAAAACTACACTTTTTTTTCAAATGAAAAATAAAACACTTTAAGATGAAATTCAATATTCTTACAATAAATAAATACAAGTATTACTTTTACCTTTTCTTTATTTACCGTTACTTTTTTTTTTTTTTTTGCTTTTCATCAAAGCATTCTTTTTATCTATTATTCTCCGGATTGCAAATTTTGAAAATTGAACTTGTTGGTACATTGTGTAAATTTTACATATATAAAGTAATAATTTTTTTTTATATATTATTTAACGATCATAATTATTATAGTATCTAGACATCAATTCAGTGAAAACGAATATGGTAATAAAATAATAAATAAATTTAAAATTATATAATTACTGGATATATATATATATATATAATCATTATTAATATTAATTGCTAATAATTTGAAACCAAGTTTAAATTAAAATAAATGGCCTAAAATATAAGAATCATATATTATGAAAAAAAATATATAATATTCAAATATTATAACGAAAATAATTTTTAAAAGAATCGAAACGTGTTAATTTTATTTTACGACACAACTTGAAAAGAGATGAGAATGTAAGAAATATTCAAACACTTAAGTCAATTTCAATCAATCATATTCTAAATTCCGTGTCTTATCTATTCAAAAGGGACGTTGAAAATTTGAAACACAAGGAATTTAATTTTTGACAAGGGATAGAAAACGAGACTTCAGTATTGTGAGATCACATATCGATGAACGAAACATTCTTTATAAAGGTATAAAAACCTCTTTCTAGTAGACACGTTTTAAAATTGTGAGACTGATGACGATACGTAACTGGCTAACACGAACAATATTTACTAGTGGTGGGCTTGATGGTTATAGAGAGTATCAAAATCAAACACTAAGTTATGTATAAGTGAGAACACTGACTCCTAAGGAACAAATTTTGAGATTTTGCATGGATTGAAGAGAGAAGGGAACTTTTTTTTTTTTGTAAAAATGCCAAAATTTGTCTCTAGTAAATACGTTTTAAAGGTTGGTTGTAATGACATAAATGGAAGAATGTGTGGGCAAGAAGAAGGTAAGATGGATGTTTCCATGACACTGCAGGTGACAGAAGCGGTTCCCTTGAAATAAACAAGTGAACAAGAACAATAGACCAAAGTCTTCCCTTCGCTCTGCCTCTTCTGTGCTCTGAAGCTCTCCCCGAGACAGATAATAACACATACTTTTCGGAGAAGGAAGCCAAGGAAAAGCAAATCAAAGCAAAGCAAAAAAAGAAAAGCTAAAGAAACTGCAACAATTACTACAAGAGTATGTGTAGATTTCCCCTCTCCCTCTTCTAAAATCCTTGCATCGCATCTTCCACTACCTTCTCCGATTCCCAATCTCACACAGCCTCATGGGTGGGGTTACTTCTTCCATGGCTGCCAAATTCGCCTTCTTCCCTCCCAACCCACCCTCTTACAAGCTCCTCAAAGACCAACCCACTGGCCTTCTTCTCCTGGACCCTTTTCCCCACCGCGAAAATGTCGATGTCTGGAAGCTTCCCACTCGCAAAGGCACTGAGATCGTCGCTGTTTACATCCGCTACCCTATGGCTACTTCTACGCTTCTTTATTCCCATGGAAACGCCGCCGATGTTGGCCAGATGTACGAGCTTTTCATCGAGCTTAGCATCCATTTGCGCGTTAATCTTCTCGGGTATGTTCATTTCTGTTTCGTTTCTTCTTCGTTTCGTACATTGTGGTGTTAATTCGAGTGGCCATTTTCCTGATAATCGGATAGTTCGAGGAGTTTCTTGTATTTGTGTGTTTTTTGGCAAATTAGAGGCGAATTATCCTTGCCCATTTGTTGAATCTGTGGTTTTATGGCTCTGGTAGTCGGGGATTGGGACTTTTAGGTTCTTGCTGGAAACTAGATGTTCGTTTACTTTATTGTAAGGTTATAATGTTTGGTTCCTTTCGATTGTTAGTGGGTTCGTTGCTCGAGTATTTGAAGTAGAATTAGGTTCGACTGAGCTGTTGGAATGGTGATCTATTGCAGATCTGAATTTTGGAAGATGGTTGTGTTGGTGCTAATTTGAATTCATTCTTCCTTAGCTGCTATCCATAGTACTCTTGTTCTACCACGAAAGGGCGAACACGAAACCCCGTCGTACGAAACCAAACTAAATTCAAATGTTTGAATGAACTTGTTCCCAATCTTCTTGACAAAGTGAAATGAGAAATCTAAACCATGTCCTCAGAGTTTACAGCACCATTGTGGGCGCAAGAACAGAGTCGACGAGTGTGGTAGCTGAGTCGGTTCGAATATAATCAAGCCAGCCCGAACTACTTTTTTCCTTGCCTGTTTGCTTGATTTGTTTAGGTAGATATAAAAGAACAGGCAAATGTTGTTTGCTGCATATTGGTTTGTTATATCTTTGTTCATTGGGACAATTTAGATCAATACTGTTCGTGAAAGTCCGACGCGGTTATAGGATGATGAGATGCTCGATTATTCATTCAAACTGCGAAAATTAAACCGAACTTTGTCTTGAAACTCATGCAGGTACGATTATTCGGGATACGGGCAGTCTACTGGAAAGGTAAATGCAGCAAATCATTTCTGCTTCAAATTTCAGTAGAGGTTAATCTTGTTTCATTCATATGCTTTTTGCAGCCAAGCGAACACAATACTTATGCAGATATTGAAGCTGCATATAAGTGTCTTGAGGAGAAATATGGTGCTAAGCAAGAGGAAATAATCCTTTATGGTCAATCCGTGGGAAGTGGCCCAACTTTAGACCTTGCTGTACGATTGCCCCGACTACGAGCAGTCGTTCTGCATAGTCCTATACTATCGGGATTAAGAGTCATGTATCCAGTGAAGCGCACATACTGGTTTGACATCTATAAGGTTCGATATTGTTTGTTGATAACACGAGCTACCCGTAATTGTTTTGTCTGATATTGGGGAGTCCTGATGTTTTTCCCTTGATTATCTGCAGAATATTGATAAAATACCATATGTTAAGTGCCCTGTGCTGGTAATTCATGTAAGTGTTTTGATCTTAAGATCTCATGTTACCAATCATTTCAGCGACCATTTTTCTTACTCCGACTTTGCAATCCTGTGTTGTTTTTGTTTCTAGGGAACATCCGACGACGTCGTTGATTTCTCTCACGGTAAACATCTCTGGGAGCTATGTCAAGAGAAATATGAACCCTTATGGCTCAAAGGGGGAAACCATTGTGATCTTGAACTCTTCCCTGAATACATCAGGCACCTCAAGAAATTCGTATCCACCGTTGAGAGATCGCCCTCACGAAGGAACGGTTCAAGGAAAAGCACAGACCGAATCGAGCAATCAAGAAGGAGCACAGATTGTTTCGAGGCCCCGAGAAGGAGCTCAGACAGGCGAGAGAAACCAAGGAAAAGCGTCGATAGGCTAGACAAATCAAGACCTCAAGGATACAAGTTTGACAACATTGAGAAGCTAGAGAAGCTAAAGATCTCAATTGACCAAGTAGAGAGATCAAGGAGAAGTGTGGAATACTACGAGAAACCGAGGAGAAGCATCGACCAACAGTTGGAAAGAGGTCGAAAGAGTGTGGATTGGTTGGATAGAATGCGCGCCGGGTAGAGGTTCGGGTTCAGGGTGGTTCCCTGATAGAAGAAAGGGGTGGTGGTATACAGAGAAGATTGGGAGAGAAGTGGTGCTGCTGGGGATTATTCTACCTCTAATTATTGAATTCTAAGAAACAAATGTTTATAGTTTGATTCATGGGAATTCATTAGCTTCCACCTTTGATTGTTAATACAACCAAATCATTGTTGTTAATCCCCTCATAAGTGAAGCTCTGATATCTCTTATGGACTCCTTCAATTTCTGATGTCTATTAATTCTCATCTTAATTTTAGAACAATACTTCAATTAATCATAACATTCTTGTCATTTTGATTAATTATGTATACCATTTGATTTTGCTTTTAAAAAAAGAAACTATCTTCAAATCCGGATTTAATTTGATTAATGAGATTTTATTTATTGATTAACCTAAGTATTCAACTCATTTTCACCATATAATTAGTTATCGCTCGTCTTGAGAAGATTTTTCTGGTCTCTAAAGTCAATTTTTATGTTTTGGTTAATCTGAAAACGTTTTATTGGAAGAGTTTGATTTTGAACGAAAAGGAAAGATCCCTGATTTGTTGATTTTGTTGGGCGAAAAGATAAGGAATTGCAAAAATTAGGGTGAGGATTTTGCTTTATTTGTAATTCAAATGGGGTGAGGGCGAAATGATTCTGTTTCTCATTTGCTTCGATCACTCATAATTCATAAGTAGGTTTTTGCAGAGGGCAATCGACTATGATCATGTCCCCAAACGAGATAGCAAACAATGCGATCAGGCACGCTCTCAGGGCGCTGCGCCAACGCCATCTAGTTGAAGAAGGTGCGCATGCTCCCGCTTTTCTCGCTCTCTCTCGGCCCATCATATCGCAGGTTTCCTGTTCTCTCTGAATTTCATTTTGATTTCAATTTCCCTGCATTTTAATTTCGTCATCTTTAATCAAAATTTACCTAATTACGACCTCTCGTTGTTGCGCACTTTGTAAAACTTCTTCCCCTTGCTCTGATTACTTCCGATCATTTGATTCTATGAACATCCCCTTGTGTTTGGGTATGCCCGTTTATGTTGCTTCCAGAGTTCGGAATGGAAAGAGAAAGCAGAGAAGCTGGAGTTGGAGCTTCAGCAATGTTACAAGGCTCAATCGCGATTGTCTGAGCAACTTGTGGTGGAAGTGGCTGAGGGTCGAGCTTCTAAATCTTCGATTGAGGAGAAAGATGCGACGATTGATAATCTGCAGCAGGAGTTAACTCGAGCCAGGTTTTCCCCTTTTCACTCATAACTCTGGGCAGGTTCTTGGGTATTGGTTTGAAGAATTCAGTTCAGTGTGTTTTTGTATGAATGTTTGAAACTGCCTACGTGCTTCAGGGATGAATGCTCCCAGCTAAAGGCAGACTTAGAGATGAAAATTAAAGCCATGGAACTGGCTATATCTGAGAGCCAAGAACTTAAAGCACAGCTTGAAGCAATGACGATTAAAGCTAAGAATACAGAGGCTGAAAATAATATGTTGATTGACCGGTGGATGCTGCAAAAGATGAAGGATGCAGAACGCCTCAATGAGGTTCTTTATGTTTTTGTTTTCTGTTTCCAATTCCGATGGGTTGAAAATTAGAATTTAGTCATTGTTCAAATGAATGCTAGGAGCTCTAGAAGTGGTAAGAAGTCTTAATTTGAACTTTGAATCATAATCATGCTCCACGAGTAGATTTCGTTCACATGCTTCAACACGTAATGATGTTGTCGATTTGTCTTGCTTATCTTTTTTAGTTTGTTTGCCTGGATGTTTATAATAATGTTCATGGTCTGAATTGTAAGTGTTTCAGATAGAATAATCTAAAGCATTAAATGGAAAAAGTCCATTTGATATGCTTCATGCTAGAATGCCTCAGATGTTTTTGAGCGACTGCCGAGTTTGAACATGCTTTTGAGTTTGTCTTCGTTGATATTAACAATGCATTACTTTCACAATGTGTAGATGTTTATACTTCTATCCATTTCTGTCCGTTGCTTGCTTGACTTGGACTATTGAACTAATTAACAATCTCAGATCTTGAATAAAGATGCATATGAATTCATGTGTAGACCTATCCTTTCAGTTGTTGAGTTTGGGCAAGTTAATATGTATGCACAAAGCGGAAACTTGTTATCGTTAGTTCTTCAATTTAGGGACAATGTCTGCCAATGAATTCTTGTTTTCCAAAATGAAATAAATTCTCCCTCCTACTCAGATTTTGAGTATGATCGGGCCCTGCTGTGGTAGAACCTGATGAACCGGGCATACTACTTCCCAACCTTCTAGGAACCTTGATTATTTAAGCTATTTTCTTTTTCTTATCAAAGTGATTGATATCATTCCATCCAAGAATCCAAACGTGAATGTAAGTTTCTTTTGTTCTTTATCAGGCAAATGCACTCTATGAAGATATGATTGACCGACTCAAGGCTAGTGGTTTAGAGAAACTTGCTCAGCAACAGGTCGATGGTGTGGTCCGTCAGAGCGAAGAGGGTGCTGAATACTTCGTAGAATCCACCGTACCCTCTGTATGCAAGCATAGTATCCGTGCGCATGAAGGGGGCTGTGGTACTATTTTGTTTGAAAACAATTCAGGAAAGTTGATCAGTGGGGGGCAGGACCGAACCGTCAAAGTGTGGGATACAAATACTGGATCACTAAGTTCCACTTTACATGGGTGCCTTGGTTCTGTTCTTGATCTTGCAGTTACCCATGATAATAGATCTGTGATTGCAGCAAGCAGTTCAAACAACTTATATGCATGGGACGTTGGTTCTGGAAGGGTGCGCCATACGCTTACCGGTCACTCCGACAAAGTATGTGCTGTAGATGTAAGCAAAATCTCGAGCCGACATGTTGTGAGTGCTGCTTATGATCGCACCATCAAAATCTGGGATTTACAGAAGGGTTACTGCACTAAGACCCTCATTTTCCCCAGCAATTGCAATGCAGTTCGGTTCAGCATGGATGGACAGACCATTTGTTCTGGGCATATGGATGGAAATCTTCGGTTGTGGGATATCCAAACAGGAAAATTGCTCAGCGAAGTTGCTGGACACTCCCTTGCTGTTACATCTCTTTCTTTGTCACGTAATGGCAATACGATATTGACTAGCGGGAGAGATAACTTGCATAATTTATTCGATATTCGGTCTTTGGAAGTCTGCGGGACATTACGGGCATCTGGGAATAGAGTAGCTTCCAATTGGAGCCGTTCTTGCATCAGCCCAGATGACAACCATGTTGCTGCTGGTTCCGCTGATGGATCTGTCCATGTCTGGTCAATATCAAAGCATGATATTGTGAGCACTCTGAAAGAGCACACTGCCTCGGTTCTGTGTTGTTCATGGAGTGGGCTTGGGAAACCCCTTGCGTCTGCGGACAGAAATGGAATTATATTTACATGGAACTGAAATAGCATCTACTTGTTTCCCACTTGATGTACAGAAAATAGAGTTGAGTGCGATGAAAGTTATTTGTTTATCATCTTATTATTCATCTCATCCCGATTCTGCTCCAAACATAATGATTTCGATTCATTATTGAAACTGAATGGCTAATTCTATGTTATTCCATTTTGTTGGTTCAGTTCATGAGTTTGTTAGTGTTCTTGATATCTGCTGCCTCCTCATTATTAAGCAGACTCTGGTGGCCGGGCAAGACTTACTATTGATTTGATATGATCATGGCTAACAATGTATTGTTCTGTTGCAGGACAAGTTGAGACACTCAGAAGTTGGGAACAATCAATCTCATTCTTGTGGTGCATAAGGTTTGCAATCTTTCCATTATCATCTCATCTGATCAGATCAGATCAGAGTGTCTCGATAGCTTTACTACTCGATTGATTTTCAACTCCAGCCTAGCCTTGTTTTTCCAAAACTTACGTGTATTAGGTGAAGATAGTTGTACCTTGAATGATTATCAACTAGATTGAAGAAATCTTTACAATGGGTTGTCGTGGTAGACCTATGCTCGATGTTGGCCTTTGAGTAGACACTTGACTGGTTCCAAAGCATCAATAAATACAATTAAATTACACTTCCAAAGCATTTAGGAAGTTAATTGGTTTGATTCTTATTAGGTTAGTGATAAAATAGGCATTCTTGTTGGAGCCGGCCCTTGGAATCCTTAATTTCTTCACTTACTCCTACCCTTCCATTTGCCTTTCTCCCATTACTTTCTTATCCTCGTTTCAAATGGTATCTACCACCACCTCTGTATAAACAACATTTTGTATTTAAATATTTCTTCTTCAATATTTAAACCTAATTCCTTCTTTCAATTTGTTTTTGATTCACACTACAAATCAACCCGACCCGAGTCATTTTACGATGTTTTATCTTTCTAAATCATCGCATCTTCAAGATTACTCTCACTTATATCTGATTTCAATTTGTTCATGTACTTCTCATTTATTCAAAATGTCAAACTAGTTGAGTGTATTGCATTAATTTGTTTCGTATTAAAGTTTTATAGGGATATAAAAGAAAGAAATGAAGGAATAAATCGTCCCAATTTTATTGATGCTTATTCTGCTGACATGTTTCAATTAATTACTTTTTTCAAACAAGAATAGGCATCACCATAGTTAATTGTACTTTGACATCTTGTTTAAAATAATATAAAAACTGTCTTTTTTAGTATATTTTTTTAATCGCGCAATTGCAAATGTCGTAGACGCCTTTAATTGAATATGACTTTTGAATAACGACTACCTAAACAATGTTTATTCAAATAATACTCCAACAAGTTAGTTGAATTAATTTTTTTTTTAATTATTAACTCAGAAAATTTAGTTGATTATTATTTCAAATTATTTAACTTTTTCTTAATAACTAAAATTACATAAAATTTAAATATTAAATATTTTTAATTTTCGTAACAATCTTAATAATGAGTGTGTATTGAATTGAGTTGGGATGTGAAGCTTGAACTAAACTGAATTTTCAATTTTAAAAAATTTAAATAAAATCAATAAAAAAAAATAACTCAACCTAACTTTACCAGCTATGCTAATATAGATGCTCGTCCAGCTAATATTTTATAAGTCGAGACTATTGGGAGAAAATATACTCGATTGTAATGAAAATAAGTAAAAGAAAAATTACAAAATATATTTTATTTCCCATAGAGAACAGAAGTTTGAACCATAAGAAAAAGAAATGATGTTAAAAAAACTAGAAAATTAAATGAAATAACACGAAGAACACTTTTTTCCAGGACTAGGAAGGAGATTACATGGGCCTTAGAGAATTAAATAATTACATAAAATAGACTCACCAAGCAAGCAGAAAAAGACGTATTCTTGTCGGAGTTACTGTATTAACCAACCAACCAACCAACCAACCGTTATGGTTCCCAAACACTTGGAGCTTCTTAGTTAACCTTGTCTCAAAAATTCCTCAATGCTCCCAATTTCTTATGTTAATTCTCTCCATCTCTATCACACAATTCGGCCCTCTGGTAGAAACAAAAACAAAAGAAAGAAAGGGAACCTAGTAAATTCCGCTCAACAATGCTATAACAATCGCCCTCACCCTGTGTTTTACAATTTCCTTTCAGTTCCATCAGGAAACGACACACACTCCCCCTCCATGGCTTCTGACGCTGACGGCGGCAGCTTCCTTTCCACGGACTTCAGAAAGGAAGCGGAGGAAGTGGTGGATCACAGCGGCACCGCCCATGAACTCTGCCTCCCTCACCGCCGCCATTGTCTTTCCTTGATGGATGACACTGCTGCAAGCAGATGGGTCATTTCCTTCTCTGACGAATTCAGGCATCACAAAAAATTCAAACTTGAACCTGACTCGATCGCAATTGATGATGGTGGTGGAAGCAGTGCCCACGGTAGCACTAGCCTCAGCCTCAGCCGCAGCAGCAGCTCTGATAGCTTGAGCACTGGCTTCCGTGCCCACATCTGGACTTACAATCAGCGTTATGTGGCGGCGGAGGCCGTGGAGGAAGCCGCCGCCGCCATCATTAATGCAGAGGAGAGCGCGGCCGAGGAGGATGCTAGTGCTGATGGGATGAGGCTTTTACATCTTCTTGTTGCATGTGCTGAGGCTGTGGCTTGCCGAGATAGGTCTCATGCTTCGATTCTTCTATCAGAGCTTCGAGCCAATGCTTTGGTTCTCGGCTCTTCCTTCCAGCGAGTGGCTTCTTGTTTTGTCCAAGGCCTCGCCGACCGCCTCGCCTTGGTTCAGCCACTTGGGTATGTTGGGTTTGGGCTGCCCATGATGAGCAGAGCAGACCATTCCTCTGAGAGGAAGAAAAAGGAGGAGGCCTTAAATCTGGTCTATGAGATATACCCACATATCCAGTTTGGGCATTTTGTGGCCAATTCTTCAATATTGGAAGTCTTTGAGGGAGAGAATTCTGTGCATGTGCTGGATTTGGGGATGGCGTTTGGATTGCCATATGGCCATCAATGGCGCAGCCTCATCGAGAGCCTCGCCGAGTGTCCGAACCGGCAGCTGCTGCGTGTCACAGGCATTGGCCTCTCTGTAAACAGATACAGATTGATGGGGGAGAAGCTGAAGTCCCACGCAGAAGAGTTTGGAGTTCAAGTGGAGGTGTTAGCAGTAGAGGGAAACTTAGAAAATCTCCGCCCCCAAGACATAAAGCTTCACGATGGTGAAGCTCTGGTAATCACCAGCATTTTTCAGATGCATGGTGTGGTTAAAGAAAGTAGAGGAGCTCTAACCTCAGTTCTTCGCATGATCTATGACCTTTCCCCCAAGGCTCTGGTTCTAGTGGAGCAAGATTCAAATCACAATGGACCCTTTTTTCTTGGGAGATTCATGGAAGCTCTGCACTACTATTCTGCTATATTTGATTCATTGGACGCCATGTTGCCCAAATATGACACAAGAAGAGCTAAGATTGAGCAATTCTATTTTGCTGAGGAGATAAAGAACATAGTGAGCTGCGAGGGAATGGCAAGGGTTGAGAGACATGAGAGAGTTGATCAATGGCGGAGGAGGATGAGCAGGGCAGGGTTCCAAGCCGCACCCATTAAAGTAATGGCACAGGGCAAGCAGTGGATCGGGAAGTTTAAGGCTAGTGAAAGCTACACAGTTGTGGAAGAAAAGGGGTGTTTGGTTCTTGGTTGGAAGTCTAAGCCCATTGTTGCAGCCTCCTGCTGGAAATGCTAAAATAAACAAAAACTCCGCTTGTTGGTTGGTTGTCTTGTTCATTGCATTGGTCAGCACCCATGTGTGTTTCATAAATAACAAAATTCGGGACCGAATTTGATGAAAACATGGAGCTCTTTTTTTTGTTTGTTTGTCCATTTCTTAGTGTTGAATGCTTGACATTGTTCTGTTCATCGAACAGAGACAGGAATAAAAGAAGGTGTTCGTTGTTTGTAATGCAAAAATGGATTGGGATTTGGATTTCATTTCAAGAACAGAAAATAAAGACAGAAAGAAAAGTACACAAATAACACGAAGACCTAACCTGAGCAAAAGGAAAGAAGCTCTTCGTCCTTTTCGAAGATGGTCATGTCTTCTTCCTTCAAGTTCACCCAAGCTTCAACGCCATCACCATCAGAAGCATCCATTAAAACTACTACGTTTCGGAAAGGCCGGCTTGGACTGCAAACCCATGTGGGCTTCCCCCATCCAAAATCAGCTTCATAAATGGGAAATCTACACATACTTGTGAAGCTCCAGAGATGGATCTCTCCGGTGGAGCGTTGTTTGTCCAATTGCTTCATCAGATTCAACAACTTTTCAGGATCTTCTAGGTTTTTCACAAAACCAGAGTCGATTTCTTGTATGGCGGTTCTTACTTTGGCCACCAGAAGAGGTAGATCTTCATTCATCGCCACAGGTGTTGTTGCCACTGTAAACCAGGATACATTGCCAAACGAATTTTCCGGCAACGGCGGGTCCCTCCTTGCTCGCAAGTTCACCGGATATAGCGCTCCAAACAGCTTTGCCTTCACTGGACTCCTTCGAGCCAAAGCCATTAAGCGTAGCCAAATGAAGGCTGAAACAGCCACCACACGCGATGGAGGATTCACGACGGAGCCACCACCAGCACCGGTAGCGAGTTCTTTCAAGGCAGCTATGTGAGATTTGGTAAACACGAGTCTCTTACTTGAGATCTTCTCTTTTGAAGGCTGGATTTCTCGCTTGAAACCTGGAATTTTTCTAGGTGGGAAGAGTTTCACAGCATCAAAATTATGCTCCAAAACAGACTCGTTACCTCCTCTGGCGTAGGCGGCCCACGCTTTTACAAAAGCCGCGACGGAAGCCCCGTCAGCGAGCTTGTGCGAAAGACAAACAGCCACCGCTACTCCGCCGCAGATGAAGCTACTGAACTGAACAACGAGCAGAAACTCGCTTCCATTTCTCGATTCTGCACTTGGCATCAATCGGCGCAAAACGCCAATTTCAGGATTGTCCAAGAGATCCGAAATCTGGCAATCGACTTTCGCTTCCAAAAATTGCACTCCAACGTCGTTGCAATGGACATAGAATCTCTCCGCCATGGTTCCCGCCAAGTGTTTGAAGCTAGTCAGAGTTCGAGCGAGAGAAGCCCTAATCTGGCGAACTTTAAGAGATCGATCGGCAAGATTTTGGGGATTAGAAGGGCGATAGAAGAAAATGGCAGGCGTTAAGGTGGGAGCCGCCATTTGATCGATCAATGAAAGTTCCCGGTAAGTTAGGGATGGAGGCGTTGGAGAAGAGGGCTTGATTACGTCGTTCGAAACGATCTCGACGCTGATATTTTCCATGAATGCAAATGCAGAATCACAACTGAAACCTTTTCTTCTCTGCTGAAGCGAGAAGGAGGTTGAAGATGATGAGGAATATAGATCTTTTTATTTTTTTTATTTTATTAAATTATATGAATTTCAAATCTCTGCATCTAACCAATATAGAATAGAAAATGTATGGTTAGATCTAACATTTGTACGTAAAGTTATTAATTATTATTTGGGGCACTACCATTATAAGCTTTTGCTAATGGACGATAATTAAAATTTTAAACTAAAAAAATTTATTATTTTTTCATATGGTAACGATGATACCTTTCTATTTAAAATCATACAAATTGAAATATAAAAATTAAATATTATCTTAATCATCCTTCCAATCAATTATTGCCACGTTAATATGTATGTGTATATATATATATATATATATAACTTCAGCAATATGTAAAGGAAAGTAACTCGGAATCTCGTTGGAATAACTCCATATCTTCTTCCTTGAGCGTTACCCAAGCCTCAATCCCGTCGCCGTCTCTGGTTGTCATCAGAACCACCACATTCTTATACGGCCGGCTCGGACTGCAAACCCACGACGGCTTCCCCCACCCGAAGTCCGCTTCATACACCGGAAACCTACACCAGCTCGTGAAGTTGCAGAACTCCACCTCTCCGCCCGCCGCGTGTCCGTGTTTCCCCATCTTGCTCCACATATGCGACGGCACGCCGGCATGCTGTAACTTCCTCACTAGGTCGCTGTCGATCTCTTCTATTGCGTTTCTTATCTGGTTCACTAAGTATTGATGTCGCTTTTCGATTTCAGTCTCTGCGACGGCGATGGCGAACCACCAGAGGTTGCCCGAGGAGCTCGGCGGTAATGGCGGATCCATCTTGCCGCGTATGTTCACGGCGTGGACTGCGGCGAAGACTTTTTCTTGTTCTGAATGTGGATTTATCTCCATGAATCGCTTCCATAAGAATGCTGAAACGGCTTCCACTCTCGTTGGCGGCTTCTCCAGAGATCCAGCGGCGGCCTCGTGCCGGAGTGCGGCTATGTTTGCTTTGTCGAACACGAATCTTTTCGTCACGATCTTGTCGTTTTGAACAACTTTGCTTCTCTTCAATCCTGGAATTTCCTTCGGCGGAAAGTACTTTGCACTGTCAAATAAGGGTTCCGAAACCTGCATTTCAAAAATTGAAAAAGAAATGTTGAGATTCTGTCGATTTCTGAGAATCGATGAAATTAGGGCTTTGAAATCTTATTTGGTGGAGAGATAATTTAGAAACCTGATCGCTATCTCCTCGATTGATGGCCGCCCACTCTCTGACGAATACGGTGGCGGAGAATCCATCGACCAGCTTATGAGTGATACACAGAGCAATCGCCACTCCGCCGCAGTCAAACAAATTCAATCGGACGGCGAGAATTACATCTCTTCCGATCTCCGGTTCGACCGAATTGGCGTAAGGCTCAAACGGCAGCAACCGATGAAGGACTTTGAAATCAGGATTTTCCACCACTTCCGATAACTCGCAACCGACTCGTGCTTCAGAATACTCAACGCCTCTGTCGTTGCAATCAACGGAATATCCAGCACTTGACAAAGTTCCGGCGAAAGGATAGAAGAGAGTCAAAATCTCCGATAAAGACTTCTTCAACTGACGACTTCCAGAAAACCAATCGGCCCCGGGATTTTCAACGGCGGCATAGAAGAAGATGATCGGAGTATAATTGGACGGCGAAATCTGGTCGAGCAGCGAAAGCTTGAGGTTTCTGCGCGACGGCGGAGTTGGAGAAGACGGCGAGATTATTTCGTCGGCGATCACCTGAATAAATTCGATCGCCATCCCCTCTGAATACAGAAGCTTTGGACAGATTATGGGTGTTCTTATACGGCAAAATGAGTAATTATTTACAATTTTATTTAAAGCTACGGAAAGTTGAAGCTGATTATATAAACTAAAATGTTAATGAATTAGTCAACGCTTGACCTTTGACTGAAGAATTGTGAATTATGATGCGACATTACCTTATGGAAATTATATTATGAGTGCCCCATATATTAAACTGTTTTAATGTAATAATATAATGTTTGAAAAAATAAATAAATACATAAAATAAACAATAACTACTTCTCGCCCATAGGTTTCAGAATATATTATTAATTCTTTAGAATTTAATATATAAATGCTGCTAATTTTGAATTGAATTATGACCCAGTCCCTCCATAATTTTTAATTTTGGAAATAACGAGATTAAAAAATATAGTTCTGACAAACCATGTCAGCTCAAGAAATACAAGGAAGAAACGACAAGTCGGCACATAAACAATAACAAATAAACAAAATGTTGTGACAAAAACAAATCAATCATTTTTAATTCTTATTATTTTAGCTTTTAAAAAAATTGTAGCATCTTGATGCCCTGGACAGTATTTAAAAGTTATTCACGGGATTCTGCTGTGATTATATTTGTAATATTTCGACTTGCTAGTCAATATGGATATATTGGCTGGTTCATCCTTATATTAGACCTTGTTGTCAATCTTACGTCCTAGAGATGAAGAGTTTGAGTGTGGAGGTATATTTTTTTGGCCCCATTGCAATGGAAACCTTAACTTGTCCTAAGTTATCCTAAGTTAGCTTAAATTCAATCATATAATGGCCAGGAATAGTAAGTTAGACCAAGTAAGTAAGACTTCAGTCATACCTTTTGACTTTTGGACTTACTCGTTTAGCTGCATCGCAAGGCAACCTGCCTTTTTAAGAGTAGGGAGTGAGTGTCTTCCATCAATTTCCATCAAGTTTCCTATAAATGACGGCTTAACTTAAGTATCTAAAAGCTCAATATAACTTCTTCTGGCTATTAATATGGACCTTTTGGCTTGTTTGGTGCATTTAGGAGTAGCTCAACCCTCTAAAAGTGTCTCAAAGTTGACCCTTTGTGTTGAAATGGGTTAGAATTTTTTTGGATTGGTGGCCTAGGGGTATACAAACCGATATTTTTCAGGTTGGGTTGAGAAGAAATGTAGATTACAAGTGATGTTTGAAGCAATTATGTGAGGATTGAAGATCATACGAACTGTATGTATAACGAGGATAGAAAGCAGAAGTGCAGAAACATGATGAGCACGAGAATTCGAATGTAATGAAATCACTTCTGTCCTGATTAACGAGGGGAAAACAAGGATATATCAACAAATTGGCATACATAAGATTAAATACGAAGACCTGAGCCAAGAAGCAACGATTAGCATCTCTCCACAAACACTCAGAGCGCAGCTTTCAGTCTTCAGCGAGTGAAAAATATGAACTTCTACGGTGCTTCCATGGTCTTAGCTAACATACTGCTTCTCAAGAAGGCTTCCACAGAATGCCAAATCAAAACGCTCTTCTGGGGGATCTCCAATGCAGTCAAACACTGCATCTGCATTT